GGTCAGTAGCCAGCTAGATAGGTATGCAGTAGGGCAGTAGGAGGGTCTAAATCGGGTGTAGGCGGGCACATAGTTTCCAGTATTCGGTCTGAACTACTCAGAACAAGTATACGACAGGGAGGGGTCGGATCAAAAATTATCATAGGGACAAATTGTATGCGTTCTATCGGTGTCTATAGTCTTGCCATCTATATATGAAGATAGGATGCAAGGGAGTCATGATAGGACATCAGTCCAGATAACGCTGTTGCAATGTCCATCGTCAAATTTGACCGGGTATGGACGAGAAATGAAGAGCAGAGAAGGCTAGATCTGAAGGCTAGATCTGGATATCATAGAAATGCACACACGAAACAGGCATCAGTTGAGATGCTGGAAAGGGGAGGGTTGTTGCCGTAAAAGATAATGGAAAATGCCCCATATGCCCTTGAACACTTCAAGTCGATCTTCAGCGTCGAACAAATCGTACCACTTGGTCCGTCGTAGCTGGAGAACCTGCCATGGTTGGTCACCGTCGGAGACTGGTGGGAAGTCGCTGCGCCCGTGGGTAATCATTTCGAGATATCGCCGATGTACACGCAGGTGCAGAATTGCAAGATGGTGGTTGATAGATGATAGCATATAGATCTGCCGTCTGTCAGTATACCTGTGTCCGTCCGCATAGCAAGCTTGGGGGTACGTACATCATCGAAGGGACTCTCAATGGGCTTCCCAATTTGGATGTACCTCATCCGCCTATCCCAAAGACTGGGACCAGGCTCCACGATCTTCCACTTGGAATTGTTGCTCAGTTTACGGACTAAGCTTGGCCGACGCAATGCGAGGAATGGATGCTCAATCTGATGACGCTTGCGAGCATTTCCCAGCTCCACTGAAGACGCATCATCTTCACCTTGCCCATGACCATCGCCATCAGCATGATTTGGCGCACCACCCCACCGCGGCACTGTCGTCCACCACTGACCTTCCCCTGGTCTGACTTCAGTGGCTCCCTGTCGGGCGCGTTCCTGCGCGGTCAGGAGCATGGCACCCACTTCGCGGAGCAGATCACACACATCGCCGACGCTTTCACCGGGGGTGTCTTCGGGTCCTCGAAATGAAGTTTCAGGTCGACACTGGGCCGTGAAGACAGGCCCTTCCATGACACCACTACGGGCCAGCTGTCGATCTTTGGGAGATCGAGCGGCCACAAAGGTCTGTCGGACTGGGAAGAGCACCGTTTTGGCGACTAACTTGGGGGGAGCGATTGGCAGGGCGACCTGACAGCCAAAGGGCCAGGCAGCCATCTCCGTCAATGCTCGAATGGTTTCGTCGCGCGCATCTTCCGGCATTTCACTCCCTGAGCCGATACGACGACCTTTGTATCGAGCCACAATCTCTGGTTCCGGGTCCCGAGAACATGATGGAGTGTCCGCCAGTTCTTCTTCCGGGGTCACACCGTCCACATCCATGCGGATCTCTGGAACGTCAGGAATTTTCAATGCTTGTGGTTCCTCGTCCATCTGCATGTGTTCATCGCCCTCATCAGGTGGCGGAGAGGCTGGGCGCTCGAAGTAATCATCCAAGCTGGTATCCCAGTACTGAGCCATGCGCTCCAATCCCGTCCAAAACTTTCGTGTGTGTGTGACCCTAACTCGATCCCGTCCTTCCTGAGGAGGCAGTCTAGCTACCTCTCTAAATGCGTCATCGTTATCGAGCAGTAATTCACTCTGTAGTAGTTCGAACCGGTCTCGGGAGGGGTACGGGTTCTCATTGTCCATCAGAATAGGAGTGCCATCTTCATCCACCGGGGAGGATCTGGCCGACATATTTTCCCATGGTAGTGGAGGGGCCGTTTTCGGACCCGACTGACGGACAATGCGAGCGGCAGGGACATCTGATTCCAGCCTCAGATTCAAAGCCTCAAATTTCTGGGGGTTGATATCTTGCGGCCGTCGGATGGAGGCTAGCACTTCGTTGAGCCTGGCCAAGGAGGTTTCGGACCCATTTTCTGCGAGATCGGGGACGTGGTAGACAGGGAAGTCGAGCTGTGTGGGGGCAGACGGTGGGCAGCGCTCTTTCTCCGGTGCTGCGCTCACCGGAAGGCCTGCGTCGCATCATGTCAGCAATGGAAAGAGTCAACGGATGATTTATGTCGGGCGTGGCTCTCATTTGGGCAGAGAGCCGACCGGCAGGCCTCCCGAGGGGTATGGGGCCCTCGGAAGCATAAGGTAGGCACAAGGCAGAATTGACCCCAAAGACCATTGCGCGACCGAAGCAGAAGGACTTCTGGTGGCTTCAATTAAACACGAGGCCAGTAGAGCCGCCGCTTATGTCGCGGAGTCCGTGCTGTGATTGCAGGGTCCTGCATGGGGGCCATCGAGATAAGAACAGTAGGTGATGTACGAGAGCAACGATTTGCATGAGAGGGAAGATTGTCCAAAGAATGGTGGGAAACGGGCAGCCTTACCCAGCGAACCAGACCACCCAAACATGATGCCGGGAAAGTCGATCGATCACACAGGGGAGAGACGTGCAAAGTGTGGGAGGAGATAATCTGTAAGGTACCGGGGGGGGGGGGGGGGTTCGTGTGCATGTGCACGCCACCCAAGCAGAAAGGAAGAGAGAGAGAGAGAGAGCTCTTTAATGATCAAATGTAAGGGAATGAGATGCGGAAGGGAGAGGAAGAAAGCTATCCGAGCCGAATTGTACAGCACTAATTAAACAGAGGCGGAGCGATCAATTGATCAATCACTGGGGGGTCATGCAGCTGTGAACTTGGAATAGTACACATGTACTAGGTAGACAAATTGGGGGGGGGGAAGAAGGAGGGGGGCGGGGGAGATAAATAATCTCCAAGTGTTAGTTAAGAAAGAAGAATGAAGAGTGGATAAAAGTTGGGGTGGAGATTAGCGCCAACCAGCAATGGCAGAAAAAGTGGGTGGGTGAAGAAGGGGTGTGGGATGATTAAGAATGAAGCAAGACGAAGAGTACTCTGTGAGTATCTTAACAGAAGCGAAGCAGCAGAAGACTGTGGGTAAAGAGGCAGCAAGAGGCAGAAGGGATCAACAGCGGGTTTTACTCCAATCATTCATCTGTTCATCTATTCATTGTCATGCACTTCCTCACTTCTGAAGAGACTAGATAACTACTAGATCAACCCCCAGGTCCTGTGGTTTTTGACTATTATCATGGATCGCATCAAGGGGATCTCCTGATCCTATCACTCTTCCAGTTCTGTTACTTTGCCATACATACTGCCTGTCTACCGACGACTTGACTGTATACTAGGTACAGTACAGTACAGGACTCTTGTCACCACACAATGCGGGGAAATTCTGGAGTGGCGGACAAGAATCAAGACAAGGCCAGGACAAGCCCAAGGAACCTGGACAAGCTCATTTGGCAACCATCCTTCGATGGTCTCCTATTCCCATTAGTTTCATTAGTCTCATTAATGAGTGAGTTTGGCGGAGTTTTTGGGCTGATCCCTGGGAATGTCGGGAGGCTTTCCTTGGGCGCAGTCGAGGAACCACTCGGGCCATGACATCAATCGCATGCGACAGATAGTCACTGCCTTTGGCATAGATCCTGCTCTTTGCCCGACAATGAATCATAGACATAGCCAACAGCCAGACAAGGTCAAACTGTCGACTCACGTTACATGACATTATGACATTTCCATTGGTCTTCTATTGTCAAAACAATTGAGGGGAAAGGCAAATGCATCCAACCTCAGGCAACCATCACAGCGGCGGGAGAATGGGGCTTTGTCCAAATATGGTTAGTCAATGTGACTCAGCATGCACCTGATGCCGGCACTAGTCTACCTTTGGCCTAGTCCGGCATGGTCCACGGTGTCTGAAACCAATGGCAGAAGGCGGCTCTCAGCCAATGACCATGGGATGATCAGGTGGTCTGACCTCCGTCCGACCACCCACTTGAGTATCCGCTCAGCTTCAATCTCTCCAATCTAACGCTCATGCTTAACCTCAGCTTCAGTTTGTTGATTTTTCTGTCCAATATGCCTTTATAGTACCACTTTATACCACCAACATGTTAACGTGCTTGAAAGCCAATGTCACTTCACAGCTCACTCTTCATGGTCATTCATCGCCATTCGCACCCCATGATTGGCTCGAGTCCCGCCATTCATCACCTTCAATGCTCTCTCCACTTAATCAATCATCTGGAAGTGTTTCCTGAGTCCCCCCCCCTGAGCTCTTCTGCTCCTCACGCGAGGGGGGGGGGGGGGCCAAAGGTCTGAGCCCCTCTTATGCATCCATATGATCATCTTGTTGGAGCTGTCTCTACTGTCTCTGCTTCCAGGTTGGATCGACTTAGTGGCTCTGCTGTTTCATCCAGCTTTTTATCCCCTGCTTCGCATATCAACTTCCACTTCTACGTACAGTACTCCGTACATGCACACATACAAGCGCCTGGCCCCAACACACTCGGTAGATTAGCTTCCCTGTTGTTGATATCATCCTAAGATGACCAGCCATTCTGTTTTCTTTTTTCTTTCCTTCGCGTCAACCTCTCGTGTCAGCTTTTCTCGCCCTTTTCGAGGCTGTGTTCCTTAGCATCCTGGATACATCAACTTCTACGCCTCTTCACGTGCAATCGCATTTGACCGTTTTTTTTTTGGCCCTCTACTTCACCGTTCGCATTCTGAAACAATACCGTCCAACCCGGGCCGTCGTCGCCTTCGACGTCCCTGTCATGGCCTGCCTGATTTGTCCCGGTAGAGGAAAAGAACAATGAGAAAGATTTAGTGACTATGCCCTGAGCTGCTGTCATTCCTGCTTTTCTGTCACTCCCTCCGTTCGTTTTTAGTTGATCGTTTCAGCTGCCATCGTGCTCTCGGCGCTATCACTCTTTTACGCGCCTGTGGCTTCATGACCAGAAAGTCTCTCTTTCTTGCAATTATATTCGGCGTTTATGCAGTCTATATCCTTAAGTCTTCTGCCTTGGATCCAGCAAACTTTGTATTGCGCTATTCGGCCTGCGGGCTTGGCGACATGTCCATGCCTAGTGCTTGTCTACTTCCTCAGAGTACCAGGTGCGCCAGATTCCCACGGGATTCCAGAATTGCTGTGCCCTCGGGGGCACCTTCGGCTATAACCAGCTTGTCGTGGCCGGCAGCAGGTACTCACATCGCCGTCTCGAACACGGATACTTTGTCGTTGATCGACAATGAAATTGTCCCAGCAAATGGTCCGATCACAACCCGCACATATTCTCAAATTTCACTTGAACATCCTGCGCAAACCGCAGCAACGCGGCTGTCGCAGGCTCCAGCCGCCATCTCTACAGATACGCCTCCCAGTCCCATCGCAACCACACCGACAACAGATAGTCTCAGTGCTTTTAACACCTCATACCTTCCTCGTGTACAACATGAACATGTCCCCCTGTCTTCGCAGACGAGCACCCCAACTCCGAGTCTCAGCTCCAGCCAAGTCGTACAACCATCGTCGACGGAGCACTCCGAGCACTTTCTTGGTGCAGCCAGCCTCATCACATCAGCGCCCCAAACGTCTTTAGCAGTCAGTGCTGCATCGACAGCCATACCTACCACGACGGATGTGACTTCTAACAACCACACCACTCCATCGGACCCCGTAGACTTCACCCACGGCTCTAGCTCCAACACCCCCTTACGTACCATCTTGGGCAGTGTGCTAGGTGGACTCGCCTTTGTTGCGCTCGCTCTAGTCTTAGGTTATTACTTCATGAGCTCGAAGCGACGCACTGGTCGAGGCTCTCCGAGTCCCAGCACCAGTGAAGAAGGCTTTACGGTGGAAAAGATTCCTGCTGTGGCACTCCCAGATGGTGCTTCTCGTCCAGGGTACCAATTGCATCGGTCCTTCCTTTCCGACTCCTCCTCGGTCCGCTCACTCCCCATTCACGTGGCCAGAGTCCCCGTCTCCAAACCCGAATACACCTACTACGACCCCCGCTCTTCCGCCATCCCCCGCGCTGCAAACGCCAATCCATTCGTCGAGCCCCTCGAACTCACCTACAAGTCCACGTCATCCCGTGGGACAACCGTTCAAAGCGACCGGGTGATGCGCAACCCCTTCGCCGACTCCTATCCCAGCCCGGGCATCGCATCCCCCGCCACCTCCACCTCTACCCACCTGCGCCAATCGCAAATGTCCCAGCAGCAACGCCCCGTGTCCATTGCCTGGGGCGGCTCCATCTACAGCGGCGGCGACGTCAGCCTGGGCAGCACGCTGATCCTCCCCAATGGCCGCAGCAGTGCCGGAAGCAGTCTCCTCAACCGACTTAGCTACCCGTTCACCGTCAACGAGCTCTCGGACGCCGGGGGTGGCGAGGGGTGTTATGATCCGGGCGCGCGGGTCAGCACGCGCAGCGACCCATTCGATCTGGAATATCCGGTCAAGGCGGCGGTCATGCATCGCCACAGTTCGACGACCATCCCTCTCGCGCCGGTGTAGTTGTAGTAAGATCTGATTCTGGATCACGAGGTTTATGTATGACTGGATATGTATAATGATATGACCGAACCGACCCGCTGTGTGATGATGTGTTCTGGGAAGACGGGGGAGTCGTGGTTCCATGTTTCTACTTTGCTGTATAACCTTCGACTTCATGTATATGTATGTTTTCACTTGATTTCAATAATTCCACGAGGCACGGAAGGTGTTCTGCGCCGTGGTTCGGGTGGTATGATGACTAACCGGTTTCCAGTTTCTGTGCAAATACGCAGTAGGATTGATCAAGATCTTGTGCACGTATTTTTGATCTTCTGAAATCTACGGAGTACTCTAGTAAGGACAAATTAGAGAGAACAGATAGAAAAACAAGAAATATCTTTCCTCCATTTGTCGGCGGGGTTCCCGCCCAAACAGCTCCACCACGTTGTTTATATATCCAACCCGCCATCCAGTGGGAAATGAGCGTTAATCACACTACAGATTGCCTTCCTCCCCCCGCCCCAAAGAATTATGCGAATGCATAAATCGAACCTCCAACTGGAACCCGAGTCCAGGGGGGCTACAAGAAAGCCCCCAACGTAAGATTGAGCCAGATGCGATGAAGCCAGAGTCATGTCATAGCTTCCCGCCCTGGAGGCAATGACTTCATTGATAGTCCGTCCGCACCCGCGGTGGAGTCATGGAGTAATAGGTTCCGCGCTGTGCTGTGCAAGTACGAGTGCATAAGAGTGAATGAAGTAAAGGGACAGGAAAGATACTCATAATTTTCGCCACGGCAATTCCAGTCAACTGGCTGATCAACAGAGGAGAAATAACTCTTGGAATCCGGGGCTTCCACCACACCCCATGGCAAAATAGACCGGAATTGTATGATGATCCTAATTCCCATTTTCTTACGGGGAAGTGGGTGGGTTCGTGTCGGTCAAGGATCTCCTCTAGGTGGGGCTATTTCTTTTCTTTTTACAGCATCGAGACGATGGGAGGGAGGATTTATCCTACGAGAGAGAAATAACCCCGCGGCTAGACTGGAACCCTCAAGCGTGATATTCAGGAAACGTTACGACATTAAACAAGGACGATGCGGGGGAGGAAGAGGTGGAAGAGTAACCGGCCGGAGGGTGGAAAGGGCTAGACCAGGCCTTAGGAGGGAAGGAGGGAGGAGTTAAGAAGATAGGTGGAGAGCAGGGCCCAAATGCGATGGCAGGAGATCACGAGCACAAGAAAAGACATCCGGGGTAGAATGGCTCTGACTGGGGTTTCCGGGGCAGAAAAAGAAATGGAGAATGGAAGCAGACCATGTGTGAGTGTAGAAGATAGAAAGAACAATGTTCAGGATTTTCGTAACACACACACGGACACACACACAAAGCGCCATGCCATTGTTTTTGACTTTAATGAAAAAGTTGGGTCATTTCTCTTTTTTTTTTTCTTGTCTTGTTCCATATTCACAGGCTCTAGGCCTTTCTCCCCCGTGGTGTAAACGGGCACAGAGGTAAAGCCAGAGGTGATATATGTTCATTTCCCCGTGTCCCCGACGAACCCAGGTGTGCCGGGTTGCCTCCTTGATACGATTCAGACAGAAGCCATTTGTCCCGGATGCAACTTTTCTTGTTCTTCTCAGAGCCAACGAGCCAGACCTGCAACGAAAAAACGGGGAAGTGTGTAGTTTTGGTCGACCTGATTTATATTCCACTGGCTGATCGATTAACCCATTATCCCCCGCTTTTCAACCTCCGCACCGCCAAAGTTCGTCAAACAGAAGAAATTTACTCCTGGGCCTCAGCGACGAGAGCGTTCTGCTTGGCCTCCTTGCGCTCCAAGCGGCGCTCACGGAGAGCCTTGTTCTTGGCACGCTTGGCGTCCATCTCCTCCTTGAGGACACGCTCACGGTGTCTCTCAGCCTTGGCCTTCTGGATCTGTAGTGGGTGAAAGAGACCGGGTTAGTTTCCAGTCTCCATTGAAGGTCTGCCGAACCGCCAGAGGATTGGGTGTAGTTCAAAGACAGGTGGCTGGTTCGTGAAAAAGGCGGTTCGTGCAGCCAAAGCAGACAAAGGAGTCAACTTACGTGCTCGATGAGGGCACGCTTGTGCTTGAAGGTGTTACCCTTGCTCAGGTGGTAGAGCTCGTGGTACAGGTGCTTGTCGATCTTGCCGGAGGCACGGTAACGGACGAGCAGGCGACGGAGAACACGCATGCGGCGCATCCAGAGGATCTGGCTGTAATGAGGGAAAAAGACCGCATGTCAGCTCCTTCTGTCTCCAACCCATATTTCCAGCATCGCGATCCAGTCATATCCAACAGCCTGAGATCGATCCTTCCGCTGCACGGACGAGAGAGAGAGTCGAGGGTGCATACCTGGGCATACGAGCCTCCTTGGTACCCTTGCGCTTACCCAGACCACGGTGTCTGCCGATTCTGCGGGCGGCGGCGAGCTCACGGGCACGGGCGCGGGAGTGCATGGTGACGGGCTTGCGGATGATGAGGCCATCGCTGACGAGCTTGCGGATGGTCTGACGGGAGTTGGCGTTGGAGATCTCATTCATCTCATTGGGGTCGAGCCAAATCTTGCGCTTGCCGCAGCCGACCACGGAGGCCGCGAGGCGCTTCTGGGTGCGAAGGTTGACCCTGTTGTGTGGGAAGAAAACCAGACGGTCAGCATGAAGTCCATCGCGATCCGAGAAATGCTTTGGCTTCGTCGACGAGTAGAGGAGTGATAAGGGCCCTTCGATGGGCATATGCGGAGGTGGTGGTGCATGGTTGGGCAAACAGGCCAAAAAAGTAATCCATCGAAGGGCCGTAATTCTCCTCTCAAACGACACGAGCACAAATCGATGATAGGACTCACATCTTGATGTCGGCGTATCGACGGTCGTTGGCGGATGATGTTCGTTGCACTCGACGACGGGTAGAATTCCCAGCTGAGGAGTTTGAGATACGCCCACTGATTAGCTAAGCCACTGTGCTTCTAAGCGAGAAAATCCACCCTAGGGCTTGTGCCCCAGCCGCTTGTCCCGATCTGGGGTTCCGCCGCCAGAGCCTCACCTCCAAGTACGAGTATCTACAAACAAGTCAGGTTTCGGTATGCAACGCGGTTCGTTTGAGATGGACCAGTCAGTTGCATAGGAAGGCTCTCTGTCTTCATTTTTCTTATGGTGGTCCACCATGTGTTTCTTTTTAATCAATCCTGCTCTCGATGGTTCTCTGGTGTTGTTCTCAGCCGACACCGCGCAACACGTGACTGATAAGCTCCTGATGTTTCTTATCTATCCGTATAGATAGGGCTAGTCCCAATCTAGACAGCCAAGTACGAACGGAGTAGACACTAAGTAAGACGGGAGAACTACGTACAGTACCTAGTAGTAGGTCTAGGCATAGTACTTACTTATGACATGGAACCTCTAACATTCACCATACCTATAAACATAACATTCCTAGAACCTTTTTACTTCTTTCCTCCGTTGCGTTCCCATCAGAATTAACCTCACCCCCGAGACAAGGGTATAAATCTAATTCATGCCACGGCTAGATCAAGTCTACTTCTCAACATCCTACCATCAATCATCTCCAAACGTCCCCTCGCCAAGGTCGACCTTGCCAATGCTCCACAGTTCCTTCTCATCATCAAACTCATCATTGGACAGGCCTAGGCCACCCTGTCCACCCTCCGCCTCCTTTCGCTCCCGGGCCTGGCTGGCAAGACGCAAGGCAACACGCTTGAAGTAGTCAGACATGCTCCGCTTGGGGCCCGGCGGAAGCTCAGCCCCAGGTCCAGCCATGTACTTGTCGAAGACGGCACTTTCAGACTCGACCACAGAGAAGATTGCGAGGAAGGCAGCCTCCGCCGCCAATTTCACAGGGATGACCATGTCGCGCACACTGCCGAAGATCGGGGGCGCAAGGAGAGCCAGGTGCGGCCGAGTCAACTCCGGATGAAGTCGGCTCACGGTCCGCATGACCACCAAAGCCAATCTCCGGGTATCGGAGGGCGCACCGGGCTGAATGCAAGGCGCCAACGCTTCGAAAATGGCTTTGTTGTCTTCGAAGTTGCGATGCTCGTCCTCGATCAGCAGATATTTACCTGCAGCCAGAACGCTGTTGTCGGAAATAAAGGGCTATCGGGAATTAGCGCGGTCCGTGGGCCTACATGCTGGATAAACTTACATCCTTGTTGGTGACACCTTGGCAGATGACTGCCTGTGTCTCAGTAACGAAATGCTCAGTCAACGCGGAAGGCGCCTCGACAAGCAGAGCATTGAGACCCAAAATCGAAGAATGAGAGATATTGGCTGTCAGGACTCTGTTCTTGATGAGTGGGCCTGCCGTGGCGGGTGGAAGCACCTTGACCAAAGCACCGAGAAGCTTGGCATTGGTGATAGCCACAGCGTCAGTCTGATCGCTGGCTTCGTCATCAATCAGGGCAAGAATAGCATTCTTCGAAGCCTCACTCATGTTGGCGCCGGCCTTGCCGACAACCTCTTGAAGTGCCTTCATCATTGCATTTCTCACTCCAACGTCAGGGGTCTTGGTTCCAGTAACAAGTTCCGCAATCAGAGGGTCGACCCTGGGGGTCAAAGTGATCAAGATTCCGAGACCCTTGGCGGCCCTGTTGCGCAAAGTCTCGCTAGTAGAGTCCGCCAGACCACGGGCGAACGTCCGTTGAAGTTGGGGCAAGAATGGCTTGACAGCCAAGGGGATCTTCTCCAAGAGTTTGTTAAGCGTGAAGAAGATGGCACCTGCAGTTCATCGTAAGGTAAGGACCGAAAACAACAGTATCGTAAGAGTGAAGAGAAGGACTTACATTTGATATCCACCGACCGCTCAGACACGACACGGATAAGAGGACCCGTGATTTGCGTGACGAACATCTTCAGAGAATCCGCACCAGTGCGATCAATGATATCGCTGATGGCAAGAGCGGCTTGAGTACGCTGCTCGACGCTTCCGTTCAAGAGACCTTGCAAGAAGATCGGCAGAACGGCAGTAATACCCTTGGGGAGGCTGAAGCCTGGAAGGTTGGCGCCAGGAACGCCCACAGAACGCAACGCCTGTCGCGTGGGGATCGTAAGAACCTCCATCTCTTCCTTGCGCAAATGAGATGTAAGCTCGCTCTGTGCTGCCCATGCGGCCTTCACAACATCCTTGTCGCCGTCATCGAAAGAAATGAGCAAGACCCGGATCAAGTCTTGATGGTATCTAGAATAGTCGATTTCGGCATTCGCGAAGAAGTTCTTGAGATGAACCGCAGCAGTAGCGCGACGGACGTGGTCATCGTGCTTCAGAAGAGTCATCATGGCATTCACCATCACATTGAGACCGTCATTCTCGTCAACAGAAACCAAGATGGTATCGAAAGCACTGCTGAGCTCTTGCCGGAGCTCCTCGTCAGTCGTTGACACGATATTATCCATCAAGGAGTTGAGAATGGTAGGCAGTCTACGTGTCATAGCGCTGCTTGCCACTTCGGCGAGGGAGGCGAGAGCCCGGGCATTGAATGCTGAGATCGGAGAGGTGAGAAGAGTAGGGATGAGGTTCGGCAGGATAATGTTGGCCCGCGTCTGCTCAGTGAGTAGTGTCAGGAGGGCTGACAGTGCCTGCTCTGCCTCGTCGCTGTTCCTCAAGAGAAGCAAGAGATGAGGAAGGACCTGATCGACGGCCCTCTTGCCAAGGATCTGTTGCAAAGCGTCGAATGCTTCGGCGGCAGCCTCACGCACGTCCTCATCACTATCAACCAAGGCCACCCGAACAGTCGAGATGAGAATCTTCTCGTAATCCTCGAGAGCTTCAGGGGAAGCAGAGGTGATAAGCTCTCTCAAAGCAATGCAGATACCCTGTCTGACATCCACATCGGGAGATGACTGAAGACCGTCCTCGAGGGTAGGAAGCAAAGTCGCGAGAACAGACTCTCCTGCTTTCTTGATAAGGTCTCCCAGAGCGTTGCTAGCGATGACTTTGTGCTCCATGTTAGAAGAGCCAAGGCGGCGGATGATGAGCTGAGATAGAGTGGGCACCATGTCCTTGAGGGTCTTGGGCGAAGCGACAAGTGACTTCCAGACACCCATAGCGGCGCTCTTGACAAGACCGGAAGTATCGCAGCGGCAGATGAAGAGCGCAGACAAGACTTTGTTCCTTCTCTCCTCTCCAAGAACTTCGAGAAGCGACTGTCCAGCTTGAGCGGCCTCTTCCTCTTCCTCTTCTGCATCGGCCCTGGCCGTGATACCAGTGATACTGAACAGAAGGTCACCAACCAGCTCAACGGAGCTCAATCTGATACGGTAGCTATCATCCGCAAGACCGCGTTCAAGCTCCGGAAGAAGCAGGTCAATGGCCTTGGAGGAGAAGTTCTTGACCAACAAGCGACCAGCCTTGAGCGACACCTCACGAATAGATTCAACGTCGTCAGCCAATCCAGAAAGAATTGGGGGGATGATCTTGCTAAGATAGGAAGCGAAGCTGTTTCCAAAGCAAGCGGGAAGGAAGATGAAGAGGGTCATAAAGCCTTCGCGAACAGATGGCTTCGAGCTGCTGACATTCTGCAAAATGGTAGGCAGCGTCTCCTCCAGTCTGGTAGTACCCAAGCCTGCGAGCACCTCCGAAAGAGCTTGAGCGGATCCCAGCCTATCACCAGCGCCGGTATCCGATTTGAGCGTAGCCATGAGATTGGGAATGAGATCGGGAAGAGCATCTTCTCCAAGCTTTTCAATGAGCGATCCAAGGGCTTTGGAAGCAGTAGCACGGGTAGTGGGTACAGGATCAACGATAGCCAGCTGCAGACCGGAAACGATGATTGGTAGGTGAGAGATGAGGTCTTTGCGCTCCGTAAGATGAGCCAAACTGCCAATAATCTGCGCCGATTTGCGTTTCGTGTTCGACCTGTCGCCGAGACCGCGCTCAAGGATACGAACGACGAGAGCCAAGGAAGGAGCATCCAGATAGTGAACAAAAGACACTTTGATGAGCGAGTCGAGAGCTTCGTCAGTGTATTTAGTGGGGTCACTCAGCGCCTTGAGTAGTACGTTGACTAGGCTCTTGACTTCGGGGTTGCTGATAACTTCACCGAAGCGCTGCAAGCTGCGGTTGGCTGCATTACGCACCTCCTTATGCGTGTCATTCAAGACAACTGTTAGCGGAGGGATAATGTCAGGCAGACTGGCTGCCAGCTGCTGGGGATCCAAATAAGCCATAGCACCTAGAAGATCACAAGCTCCCTTCTGACTGCGCCACTGCGTGTCATCGAGACCATCAAGAAGAGTCGGGAGAATTTGCTTGACACCGTACGAGCTGAGGTTCGAGAAGCAGGCCTTGGCCGCATCGAGGCAGGCATCACGGACGTCTGCGTTTACATCTCCGAAGCTAGCGAGAAGTTGCGGGACAATTCGAATAACATATGGCTCGAACGTTCGACCAAGAATAGTCGCAAACAATTCATATGCCAGTAGAGCACCTTGTCTCTGATGCGGCTCCTTTCTGTTCTCCGAAGCATCCTGAAGATGAGCCATGACCTGGAATTCGCGCAGCGTGGAGATACCCCGGCCACTGACAATACCAGCGAGGCCATAGGCCGCACCACGTTGAGTAGCATACTTCTTTGACTGTAAAAGCTGATCCAGCATATCCTTGACATACTGTCCGCTCTGCTGAGGGCCGCAAAGTCGGATGAGGGGTGGCAAGCAACCAGAAACTGCAGACTGCACGCTCTCCGAAGGCGTCGGCAGAGTGCCCAGAAGTTTCTTGAGGACAGTCTGTAGACGAGGGTCGTCTGCTTTAAGATGTTGGGCCAAGGATCCGTACAGAACAACCACAGCCTCATTGAGCAGGTCGGAAGTCTCGCTCCCCTTGTCGGAAGTTTCCAGAGTAGTTTCCAGAAGTTTCATCAACTCCTCCACAACCTGCTGGCCACGTGCGGCGATGACGGAT